CAATAACGGCTTTAGGGCGGGGATGTTCGAAGTAAGCAATGTTCAGTATTTTTCATCATTAGGTTTTCTTGGTTTTCACCACTGCTCCAAGTTTTCCATTATTGTTCATAACTTTCTACTTTTTCTAGTCATACCCCATGTTTCAACATGTTTCGCCATTGTTCATCAAATTTCATGAGTCTTTAATCCTTCCTCACGAGTCATCAATCATCATCATGGCGCCATGTTTTTCATGACCTTCCATCATTTTCAAAATATTTCGCCTTTTCCATCGAAACATGAACTGTTTAAAAGTGAATCCTCATCAACAACTGCCGCACTGCTCAGTGACTTGCAAATGGGGGAGAGGAGGGCTGGCTCCCTGCCCTCAACCCTCTGGCTTTTTTGGGGTATGAACCCGCATCGTGTCTAATAGCGCATCCTCGCCAACAAATGCCACATTCCTCAATGGTTTGCCCCCCCAGCTCTTTTTGATCATGAGCCTGTATCGCGTCTGGTCTGGTAGTGAACCTTCATCGGGGGCTCCCATGGACCCCTATCATTTCTAGTGGTGAACAACAGCAACATTTCTCAAATGGTTTGCAATGGGACCCTGTAGTTCCCCGACTCTTTGACCCCATTCGGCGTAGTGCGTTCTTGGGAAAATCGAACTCTCCCCTTGGGAACTATCTTGGCTCGTGCAGGTCTTCGGATCAAGGCCCTATGACGGAAGGTCGGCTGACATTTTCTCCATTGGTGCCGTCATGCATCATCTGATTGTGCTTTGTCAGCAAGCTCAGCAGATCAAAGTCCTGCAACTTCCGAGCACCATTGAAGACAAGGTGGGTTTGCCACCAAGCTGGAAAGCTGCGACGCTCGTCGTATTCACGAGCTGGAGTCAGCAAGAGTTCTATGCCCCAGCTTTGCAACTTGAGGTGCCGTGCACACTCGTGCGGCCTGTAATGCTTTTACAGTTTTTATAAATAGGATACAACAAACGAGTGGGATGTATAGTGCTTCGCCAGCGCTGATGCGCTTGAGTGCGCACCTCAGGAACAATGCTGCTTGCCTACGATGGATTCTTTGCTGGGAGATGTTGGGAGAACCATTGTCGCATGCATTCAGCTTGAGCATGAGCGGTTGAAGCGTGGCGGCATAGAGGCCGCTGCTGAAGAATGATAGCCAAGCTCAGGAACCCCCAAGAGTGGCCTTACCTAATCATGGTTTCTCAGGCTTATGACTTTCCAGGGAGGCTCCGCTATCAGAAGTTCTCTGAAGACTGCCGTTCTCTCCTGGAGCATCTGCGCCTGGACTGAAAGCCGTGCAGAAGAACAAGCTTCTTGTCCAAACCGTTTGGTCGGAGCTTGCTTAGCTCCGCGCAGGCTTCATGAGGAACCAGAAATGCGGCCAACAGCCGCCGAGGCCAACGGACTGATCTGCACCCTGACGGGCTACAAATTTTGCACGGGGTCTTGCAAGGCACGCAAGATTTGGAACATGAAATTCCGATGCGGCATGCGTAGCGGTGCATATCTGTCTTGTGCCTTGCAGCTGCAGGCTGGCAAATCAGAAATTTAGCTGCCCATCGTGGATTCAGTTAATTAAGCCTTGTGGAAGAATCGGCCGCGCAGCGCAGGCACTGCGGCATTCCTGGTTCGACAGCAGAGGCCTCCATCTGCAAAATGGCTGCGGTCATCGGCAAATGGTGCCGTGCCTAGCTACGACAGCCACATACCCTCAAATCACCATCTGCCCTTTGTGCTGTTGATTAAAGAAATCTGTCACCAGGTTTGATGGCTGACAAAGCTTAGCACCCCATGCCCCTTCCTAACACTGATGTTGGAACCCCCGCACCATGCAGAGTCAGGGCAAACGAGCAAACTCTTGCATCACCCAGGGTGCAAGGTTTGTCTAGTGCGTGGCATTGTTTGTCAGCATTGGCGTGGTGGGAGACTTGTGCTTCGCATGTTTAATTTCACATTGCGGGCAAAGGCTTCACTTCTCGAGAAATGCTTCAGGACAGCACATGCTCAAAGGTTGATCTCATTACTGTTGTCTACTGACAAAGACCTGTCGTAGGGTCTGCGGCCTGGCAAGGAGAATGCACCAGTTTTCCCAGCGCACACAGCTGCAGAAAACAGTCATGCCAGGGACCCAGCCACAGATTGAAAGAAGATTTGCCTGCACATGGCCAAGTGATGAAGTGGTGCAGCATGGGATTGGCTGCAGTATACGGAATTCTTGAGAAAATAAGCAGCCTAGTTCTAGTTGCCAACTCATTGAGGAGATCCTGCACCTACGGACTGAAGCAGTTGGACCCTAAGCCTCCCCAAATGCACTCACGAAGCAGGTACAGCATGGTGGCCTTCGCACCTCTGCATAACCATCACATGGAACAGCTTCGCCGCTTGTCAGCAAGCATGAAACAGCATGCCGAATGCTTGATGCCACAGCATGTGCCTTCTCGGAATGGGGGCCAAAGATGTCGTCAGCGAATGCAAGTTAGCCAGCACGAGATGAATTCTTACGACTAGCTGAGGTGTTGCTTTCTTGTTTGCAGATCGAGGCTGTCGGGAGCTGTGCAACAGATGGCAAAACGCGCATGAACCACAAAGTCACTAGCAATGCTATGCCAGCTCCCTATGCCCTGAAGGCAAATCCGCAGGGCACCTGGACCTGCAAGATTAGTAAATTATGCCTATGCATGCATTCCAGGATGATTGCTGCGAGCGTTGCCCTGCTACATGCAGTGCTTTGTTGCATGGAGCATGCATTGTTGACATCTGTTGACTGAGGATCAGCTGTTTTGAGTTTGTGGAGCTGGGAAGGAGATACAGCTCTTTCTCTTCAACGGAATTGCGCCAGATATTCGCAACGGCCAATGTGTCGAAGACTGGAAAGCTGTCCTACTGAGCCTAGCCTGCACTGCTTTGCATCCAGTGGTGAGTACATCACGCCTATGCTTCAGAGTTATAAAGTGTAATCTTAGCACCAAATTTGCATGGTCCAGTTCCTCTTCGAATCTCTCAAGGCGAATGGCTGACCGCCTCTGCTGATGATGAGTGGTACAGGATCAAGGAGCATGCAGAGAGAGCGCCCCTGGGCAACATCAATCATTCGCCCTACTTGCTTGTTGCGAGCAAGCGTGTTCACATCAAGTTTTTCGTCAGTCCTGACGAGAGCTTGCTGCAGAGACTAGAGCTCACCTGCAGCTGCTGGTGAATGCAGGGCACCAAAGTTATCTAGCTTCCTGCGGCATGTGAGTGTTTTAGACTCCGGGTACACGCGTTCTTATGGCAAGTGCTGCAGGGCCGGCAGCAACTAGCCAGAGGTCACGGAGGGCTTGGCTTGATGAGGTTTACGCACATGCTGAGTGCCAAGGGTACTTGTGCACCTCAGCCCTTCGTCCATCCTTGCAGTCTCCCAGCGCTTTGTTGCACAAGCCCTGTGGCTTCACTCCTATTACTTGTGCAACCTGCGAGCGCCCACACCTTGGCTGGCAGCGGCTTTGTTTTTGTCTTGTGCTTTCTAACAGTTTGCTCGAGCTTCCATCCCCCGAATTGATTGTGTGCTTGCCCGCCCTTCAGCCTCTCCGCTTCAGTTGAACACGTCTGGAAGGAGTCTCACAGCTTTTTGCGCGAATCGAGTTCCGCTTCATCTTCCGGGACACAGGCGGTGTCCCTGCTTTTGCTGCTCGCGGAGACGTCCGCAATGTTCTTTCGCGCGCCAATTGCAACGTGCAACTTCCCCCCTCCATTTTGCCCGACTAAAGCCTCACCTTGGCAAACATTTGTGTGATGTTGGCTGACACGCTTTCCGCGTCTTGCATGGCGAGCGGGTTAGAAAGGTTTCGAAGGTGGAACGTTGAACACTTGAAGTACGTTACCTCAAACACTTGGTTAGCAGCCTTTGTGCGAGGTTTGACACTTTGGATGTGAAGAGAAATGGATGTCTGCGAGCGTGCGACTTGCGCACCTGGGCAGTGATGCAAGTATGCGCAAGCTGAACTGATTCTTTGCATTGCTGAGGTTTGGACCAGTCTTAGTTAAGCGAGATGTAGAGAGGAGATGTTCATCAGGCTTCAGCACAGAACAGTGTGAAATACGACTGATGCCGCATGAGTAGCATTTCGCATTGTTCTGTGCACATCCATTTCTCTCCTTGTGGATTTGGCTTGATGACAGTAGGCAGACCCAGGCCGTGTCATGTAGACACTGCCCGCAACAAAGGCCAGCTGCTGCCAAAGGTGCCGGCGTCTAAGCAATTCAGCCATGGGCGTATTATAAAGAGTGTTGCCAGCATTGTTCATCAGCTCTGGATTTGGAGAAGTCTGCAAGCAGAAGCTCAGGAACGGTTTGGTACAGTCCCTCTGCACCTGCAGTTAAAACTCAGAGAAAACTTACATGCTAAACGACTCTTCCTCGGGAAGCTGATTATGAGTTCTCACTGATTGCAAGTTTTTGCGGCTGCATTGCCTCTACCTCTTCCCAAAGAGGCACGCGACTGGAAACAAACGTGAAAGCATGAAAGGTTTGACCTCGTGGAGATCGAGCAGGAGATCATTGGCCTGTGCTCCAGAAGCGCCCTGCCTGAACACACGAGTCTTGCGCAGAAGCCCATTGTATCCCATTGTGCTCGAACTCACTGTGGACTGTCTCAGTGTGGCTGACTGCAAGCTGGCGGACAGGTGAAGGCGATCTCCACTTTGAGCAGTTTGTGGCATGTGCTGTATCAGGTGAATAGGGCATCGATGCAATGACACATCCTACGGTTTTAAAATGGAGGAGGAAAAGTCCTCGCAAAGCTTTTTCCTACCTTCGGTCTCACCACTCAGATTGTATCTTGGTTATTATAGTGTGGCTCTACGTCAGGATCTGAGTCCTGCGTTTGAGCCTTGGCTAGGCTTGGGAGAGGGGTGGCAGGGTCCAGGAATGTTTAGGCGGTACTTCCAGGCTGTCCCCTCTTCATGCCTTTGTGCAAAATTCGCGCCACAAGTGCTAATGATAAAGTCATGCATGTTGCGCGGCCTCAAAGTTTGTACAGTGACGCGAGGCTGCAAGATATCCTTCGTGCGGGTTGGTAGGGGTATTGTAATTTGCTGATGGCACCCCCATGCCCAGCCTAAACAGATTGATTCCATGTCTACATCATGGCGGTTGGTTCCTAAGCATGAACCACGCTCTGGCCATTTACCAAAGAGTGCTGACCGATATTTGGGCGCTTCGCGTGGAACATGGCAGCACAACAACCAGAGTATGTCGATGCTTCTATCGTGTTCTATGTGCGGTAGTTCATGATTGGTGCTGGTAAGATTGGCACGCGTGCATCTGCACCAAGACAGAGCAGGCAGGAAGCACCAGATGCCTCTGAGGCCTAAAGAAAAGCCCAGCTGCCAGTCGCGACCTGGGCGTGTTCTGACTCCTGCTTGTTTTGGTGCAAGATCTTTTGATTTCGTCGGTGTGTCCGAAGTGATGTGTGGTGGAGACATGTTTGCGTTTCTAGAGCTGTCGCTGTGTGGCCTTAGCAAGCCATGAGAGGAATTTGTGAGCTTCAAGACAACAGCCACGAAGGTTGACATTTCTGAGAGCGTCTAGGTATGGGCTATATGACAGCGACGACAGCCGGAAACACTGGCTTAGGCTTTGGACTCGGCCAGCCAATTGACAACAGTTCTTCTCTGCCTTTCCATGTGCGCAGTGACGGTCTTCAAATATCATGTGTCCTCCTAAGGCACCCTGTCAGGTCTCAGTATGAGTAGTCAAGAGCTCAGCTTCAGAAGATGATGCATCGTGGGAATTTTGCAGGGTGGTTGTGCCCCGGTGAACATGTTCGCTCTAACGGCTCGACGGAGTTTTCTTAGTCAACCAGGCATGTATCCGATGTATACACTGTGCATTAGGCTTTTCGACGCCATCTCCGGCCAAGGCACGGCACCTTTGAATCTGCACTATTCCCAGGGTAACTTCCTGTGTTTGAGGGCGAAGCTGCGCAAGAGGTTCCGTTTTCGGTACACCAACTGAACCATAACCACATCCTGCTTAGCAGATTGTTTTTGAAAGTGCGAATTCTGGCTGTAGACTGTAGACTCCCTGTAGCCCAAACCGCCTCAGACATCGATGCTGAACGCCTCTGCTCCTCTCTCGCCACCTGTTGGTCATCCCTGCAGAGATCAGGACGAGGACTTCGGGGATCAGAAAATTACGCCAATGTCTCTGATGCGAGTGACCCTGGCGTTTGGGCATATCCAAGCACAGCGCAGTTCGCATTCTATGTTTGCCTTGTTTGCCTAACTATTCGCAGGAGACGCTGCGAAAGCCTGTGCTTTACAAACGTCCCATGCTCGGAATGGCAGGGGTAGTCTGGCATCTGAGCTGTTGAGCTGGCTAGCTGTGGAAGATTTCAGCAGTGGCGCTTGGTGTGGCATGAGGCTTTAGATGTGATCTGAGCAGATCCTGCAGAGCTAAAGTTCAGCAGATCTTCTTGGCTCAGCCCCAGCCTGTCCTGTTGCTGCATCTAGCGCCAGCATGACGCCGGCAAGGGTGGCACGCTCAGAGTCTTTTATATGCAAGGGGCCCACCAAGTCTGGAGGCTACCCGCAAAAGAATTCGATTTGCTAGTGAGAAGACGTGAGAAGTTGGCAATAAACAAAAGTTCCACGGCCCTTGTGGGGGCGGACTTCTCGCGCAGGCTGTGCTGTTCTTTTTGATGCTTGAACATGGAGCGTCCGCGGCAAAGGACCTGTGTCTCCGGGAGGTCTAGTGGTGAAGCGTTGAACATTGAACTGGTAGGTTTGGGGTAGGTGGGCTAATGGCCAGAGCGCACCCTGGAAAATTGCCCCCTCCGGCAACAGTTTCCTGGTGATAGACGGAGTAGGGTGTGCCAGAGCAGGAAGCGCGGATGTTGGTGTCTGCGAATGGTGGCGTGACTCTCTTCCAGAAGCGTTGCTTGGCAGCAATTGGAAAGTGATCAGCGTCCAAGAGTGCCGACAGACAAAAGGCAGTCGAGAAGTTTTGGAGAGTTGAAATCGGCGTTCCTTTTTTCAGGAAGCTTGCTTGGCGGCAAGATGGACCAGGCCAAGCTTAAAGGCGCGAAGAAGAACAGAAGTTGTTTGTCTCGAGCCCGCACATGTGGACCCGACACCAGGCTTTCATGAAGCGTGCGTGTATCCGGGCATTGTTGGCAAGTAGCCGATCCCTACTGTTTTCTTGGGCCCGGCTACTTCATGATCGTTTATGCATTGATTTACCTTGTCACGCAGGCCAATCCAAAATCTCCTGCGGTGAAGCAGTACGGCTGCGAGACTTGCCCGCGATTCTACATGGGCATTCTGTGTGCTTGGAACCGCAGAGATTCAGGGGGTCTTGTCGTAAAATGCAAAGCAAAGCATGAAGAGGCGAGAAACAATAACTCTGCTCTCCAGAGAAGGCACTGCACCCTTCAGCTAAAACATCACCAGGGGAGGTGTGAGTAGGTGGCCTGAGCATGTGGCTGGTTGCTGCAAGTATGCAAAATGATTGATCACCGCGGCCAAGGAACCTATGACGGCAAATATCTCCACTCCGATGGCAAGACAGCTCCTTGCCTGTGACTTGCATAAGTGCTGATACAGCAAGGCAGCATCACCCCCATGCGCCTTCTTCGACTTGGGGGCGGCAGGTGTGGGCAAGCCCACAGAACGCGATGCAGACAGAAGTCCTCCTTCGATCCGCAGGGCCTGCCCCAGCCACTTTGAAGCCTGGCTGCAAACAGTCCAGGTGGAGAGATTGCAATGCAAGCAGTGAGAGCCTCGGCGGCAAGGCAGAGCGGGGATGCCGTCGTTCTGGAAACCCGAGGAGGCCTGGGACCAAGGGGATGCCAGATGAAAGATTGACTCGGCAGCCTTCAGGGCGCCCGGAAACTGAGAGGCAAAACAAATGATTGTGCGGGCACTACAGTCAAAGCGCAGCCACAATTGCTAAAGGCAGTGAACGGGTTTCGTAGCAATCTCTTCCCCAAAGAAGCCGGGGTCGGGCGACAATTTCTGTTTGCAAAGGCATCCCAGTCCGGAGCAGAAAAACATCCGAAACGCTTAGTGCTAAAGTAGCGCGCACACCAAAACCATAGCAACGTTTGTCACTTCTTGAGGTCGACATAATAGAGACAAACAGCGTCAACAGCGCTAAACAACTCCTCCTGGTGCTCTTTGCCTGTCCACTTTTAGAGATGCAGCAACAGAGCCATTCCCATTTTGTCTAAGAGCCTCAAAATTTGCAGGCCCCGCAGCATGAAAAACTGCGTCGATACATGGCGCTGGACCAAAATCCCAGTGTCTAGCAAGCCAAGCATCATGAACGAATTGTCAGACAATCAGACCTGCGCCTACAGGTCATCGTCTTGAGCTTGCTCATGGGAGCGTCCATGTGCGCCCCAAGACCTACAGACAGGCACTCATTCATAGATTTGCTCGTGCCAGAATTGCCGGGTGATCCGAGTCTGCGTGAGACAGAGGGAGGGCTGACAAGTTGGAGTGCCGGTAGCGCAGAAAGCTTGATGTCACCCTTTGGTTTGGTTCTGGCAGGACTCGCAGACATTCCTAGTGCAGAGGCAAGCTGCAATGTCGCCATGCGGGTGTTGTCTAAGGCCTAAGGTTGACATGCCGCAAGCAAACCCCAGCATGTGGTACCATGAAAGCATCAAGTACTGGGCTCTGCGCTGTTTCTTGGAAAGGCAGGTGCAAAGAGATCATTGAATATCACTGAAGTCCGAGACCTCAAGCCAGTCACTGCAGCATCATTTTGCCAGAGTCTGACAGAACGATTTGAACTCTCACCCACTCTGAACAAGTTCCGTTGTAGCCCCAAGACTTGCCTGTCTGCGCTTAGAACACCAGCCTCTGCAGACAGGCAAGGCGGCGAGGGTGACTTGGAGGACCAAACTACGGGATCCCTGATGTGTGACCTGCGGGAAATCGCGAGCAATCTTCCAAGTCCGGTTTTGGAGAGGTCCGGGAAACCATTTTGGCATGCCACCTGTCTTCCTGTTTTCTGCGAAGCTTCTGCAAGCGTGCAAGAGTAGACCTGGATACTTTGCAATGCCCTATATAAGCCAGAACTGGGGTGAGAAACTGATAAACTTCGTTGAACATGGGTGACAGGCTGCTCGACCTTCGCCAGTACGCCCCTGGCAGATTCCAACAATTAATCCGGTCATGAGAAAAGCTTGCCCAAAGTCTGCAGGTGGTCAACTAGGTTATGGCGTTGTGTTCTGCCTGAACCACCCATGATCATGTGCCTCTCAAAGCTCAGGGTTGAGGGCGCCATGCTATTTTCAAGAGTAATCGGTACCAAACTATGAAGCCCATCCGCTCCCAAACAAGGAGGGTGATCCTGCCTTCCTGGTTTCAGCTATGGGGCTTGCCCTCGCTGTGGAGGGCGGCAAAGTGCTTTCCAGGCCTGCAGATCATAGGGACTCAGGAGCTTCTCCACACTGGCTGTCGTGTGCTACTTGTCTAGATTGGGGTTCTCAGGATGCGCTAGGTGTCAGGACTGTAATGAAGTTCGCTGTGCCATCGGAAATTCGCTGTGCCATCGCCTTTGGTGAGCATGCAGGCAGCCGGATATGGACCACGGGGAAGCCTTCCTTTTGGAGCACCCTGCTTCAGAGGCTAAAATTAATGTCCCGTAGCCCGACGAGTGGCAGACTGAAAAGTGAGGGTGACATTCAAGATAAGGGTCAGGACAGCAATGGAGTCTTGAAAGAGTCATCAATTCCCCCAGGAACGTGCTTCTGCTCATGGAAAAGCAGAATGCACGTGGAGATTTTCGTGTGAGTAGTAAAATGTCCGCAAATGTCCGCAAGCTTCTTCTGTGGGGGCCGAGCCGTGAAATGGGGCATAATAATCAGCACGGCGAAGTCAGATATCCCTTTTGTACTCGCGTATGCAAAGCCCCAAAATTACAGTCTTCCTGAAAATAGTTCATCGACGTCTGCAGCTTTACAAGTGGGCTTTAGCTTCAACCTACTGGCAAATTTCAGGAAAGCTTCCTCCACGGTGCCGCCGCAACCTCGGCGCTCCAGTTTTTGTGCCAGGATTTGTCAAAAGCTTTTGCAAGTCAAGCATGCAATAATTCTGGAAGAAAGGCAGGCGAGTGCAGGAAAGTTTTCCCAGGACCCTGACCTTATGCGGAAATCCTTCTATTTGATGCCCCCTTGTAGAGCAGGTACAGGCGAGACAAGTCAGAAGCTGCAAATCAAAGGGCTGCAAAAAGAGTAGCCTGAGTACCCTCAGCTGGTTGATTTGACGTGTCAGATGTTATTCCAACACAATGGGAAGGGAAGCCCACTTCTGCCTAGCATCTAGAATCCGAGGCAGAGTTGACCCTGCCTGAGCCTGCTTGATTCTGAGGAATGAATGGGTCGTCGTGCCCAATCCCCAGGGTCATTGCGACCCGACACTGGAATGTCACCGCAAACTCAATGTGTCCTGCAGAATCCTGGCAGCCAGGGTCCATGTGGGCGGAAGGGACACTCTTTTAAGCACTATCTGTCGAAGGACGTGAGCTTTTCATGCGCAAAGGTGGGGCTTTCACAGATAGATGGCTTGAGGGCATCAGACACCTGCTATTTAGGTGCGAGGGTTTCTCAAGCAGAGCTGTTAGTGCGTGAGATACCTTTGACGGCGTTTTGGAAATTACACCTGCCAGTTCTCACTGTAGACTTTTTCCGCTGTTTGGTGCCTCTATGCCACAATGCTGTGGATGCCTCCGTTCGAAACTCTCAACATGCTGTTTGAGCTGAATTGGCTGAGGAAGTCCCAACGGCACCTTGTTGTCTTTTGCAGATTGCCCCTCGTCTTCAATTTGAAGACGACTTTTGTGCAAACCAAGCAGAAATTTGCTGTAACAATTTCACTGTAGCCCCGGCGGCATTTAAGAGCTTTCAGAAGAGAACAAGGTGACCACCACGCACGCCCCTGGAGCTACGAACCCTGCTTCCGGTCGCGTTTGGGCTCCTGCATCGACTTGGGTGCATCTGCATCTGGGCATGAGATAACTTTTCACGCTGCTAAGCGCATCCAGGAGGCATTCGCGGCATGGATGCGGGCTTGTTTTGCCCAGATTGTGCCGACTCAGGACTGTGTTGACATTCCCGGGCACTGGTGGAACACAGAACCGTCTCTGCAATCATGCTGGTACCAATCCATCCCCCACGCGCATGTGACCTGCGACGATGTGCAGGGTGATCAGCTTTGTTTTGTCAGTACCTGACGTCATGAGTAACAGCGTCGATTGGCAGTTATCCAGAGCCCGTGCCTCATGCAGATCTTGAGTTTGTTTGCCAAGGAAGGCAAGACATGTGCGCAATATGGCGTGGAGATGTGTGAGGACGAGTTGGTAGGGCGTGCGTGCCGGCAGACATGCGCCTCGGCAATGTCCAGCCAAGTTTCACTGCGGGATTTGTCAGTGCTGCGCTGTTCAGAGATGCACAAAAGGTGGCGGCGGTTGTCAGCCAGCGAAGACCCTCATGCCTGGCACGGCTTCTTGAATCGCATGGCGTGTACGTGTCTGCTCAGGATTGCAAAAAGACTCAGGACTTCGTTGTTCCCTGAACACATGTTCCCGGTTGTTTTGCGTCATCTTGCTGGAGGGGACATGCCTGCGGCAAACCAGTTGTGGTATAACCCCTAATGCTGCCCCGCTAAAAACTTGTTCTGCTAGAGCCAAAGCTCGGTTAGAAGCTATCGTTGCAGAGTGTTGCAGACCTCAGGCTGGTTGTGAGGATGACCCCTTGTACAGGCCCGGCTCTGAAGGGTACAAGTGCATGCCGTTTCTTGCGCACTCATGTGTATGAATGAGTCCTTGAGTCAAAATGGTATGCTTACCATGGCTGTGGCAGCCAGCCCTTTCGAGAATTGCGGTATCAGGCATGATTCAGGACAATCTCGCACATGCAAGCCATGCAAGGGGCACCTTCAACTGGTTGTGCAGCTGGTTCAGCTCAAGGAACTGCAGCTTCTCGGCAGCGGTTGGCTCACCTATTCTGGACATGGCATAGTGCCATAGGGCACTCTTAATGGGTGCGTATTGGGGAGGCTAGCAAGCACAAGTACGTTGCCAAACCAAACAGGGTTTGGAGAGAGCAAGTGCCTCAGGTGCCTATTTGTTCAAGGACGAGCTTCTGAAGGCTCGACAGGGTCTCCTTTGTCTCTGGACCTCCCTTGACTCTTTGCATGGGATAGTCCAGCAGACTTCCCGAAAGCCCCGGAGGTGTCAGGGTTGGTGAGTTGCGTATCAACCCCACAAAACTTTCTGCAAGGATAGTGGAGGTGGATGCACCGTGGAAACGCTCGCGTGAAAGCCGTTCCATGTGTCATGAAGGCATGCCCCAAGTCGTGCGGGCTGTGCTGACACGCATGGAGCTCAGTCTCAGCATGTGCAAGTTTTGAGGAAAACGAATCTCGTCTTGTGGTGCTCATGTGCGAGGCGACATGTTCACAAGCTTCGACATCATGGGTCTAGCACCAGTGAAGCCTTTTTTAGTATGGTATGGCACTTGGCGGTACAATTGTGCAACCGCCACGTGCATTGAATGCATGATGTGCTTGAAAAGCGGGCACAAAGCCGACTTCTTCTCCTCAATGCCTGCATGTTGGAATTCGCTCTGCCCAAGAAGTTTAAATCAGCAGCGCTTAACATGTGCTCCGAGACTTGGGAAATGCTGCGGCTGACGGAGGCAGTGAGTCAAATGGCCTTTTACGCTGGGCCTGTCAGTCGCGCTGAAGCATGCTGCCTGTCAAGCCGTAGCGCGTGTCAGCAGGCAGTGATCTTTCGGCTACGCCCTCCGGCAGCTGCAAAAGCAACTTCAGGGCAGAGGCGACTTCAAATGTTGTCGCCCAGCTGGCTACAAATGCCGTCTGCCTTCGAAGATTCAGGCACTGCGGTTGCCAGCGCTGCATGTTGAGAAGGTTTCACTTCTGATGCTTGGTTGTCAGGCGGTCGATCTAGAATGTCTAAACCTGTTTAAATCTCAGATGACACTGCCATTCCAGCAAGAGTCAAGGCAAAGTATCCAGTCCTGACGTAGTGAGTAAGCGCCAGCTTCCTACAGGGACATCTGCTGCTGGCCGAGCTGAAGAAAGCCGGCAAAGCCTTTGGGCTGGGGCTGGTGCGCCGGCCAGCAGCGAAGGGGTCCACCGATTTCCTTCAGCTGGTGTTCCATGATGTTTGACAAGCTAAGCGTTGATGCTTTGGGGGTTGTATCTTGAGGAGTGCGCCTGTTGAGAGGTTTGTTCTCTCCAAGTGCCAGATCCTTGTTGAATCAACTTATCAAGGGATCCAAGCCCTGAGAATACTTCTCTGGACACCAGCTGCATGCGGATGTTATTTGCAATCCAACATGGTGCTTTGCAGAATGTCCTCCCGGGTCTGACCAGCCCTGCAAGGCCGGTTGACTGCCCGGCATAGATAAGTTTGTTCTTTGCCTACAAAGGATTGCGGAGGATGCAGGAGGACGCCGGCAAAGGTACCTTCGTGTAAGGCCCAGACTTCTGCTGAGGCAAGCCGATGCTAAAAAAATGCGAGCCGCTAGCTGCCAAGCTGATGCCAGTGGGAATATAGAGGCATGCGCAGGGGGTGTCCTACCTGCAAGACATTTATGGCCAGCTTCGTGTGGCGAGCTTTTTGTACACGTCTGAACATGTTGCTGCCGGCCTTCATGTCGCATTGTAGTGGACTTTACACGCATCGAGGGCCGGGAAATTCTGAAAATCCAGAACTGCCAATCCAGAAGTTGTCTCGCCTGCCAAGCGAGGCCCTGGAGCTGCATTGGAGCCCACACTCCGCGCAGCTGTGGTTTGAGCCATATGCAGGCAACGGACGCACGGGATCATTTCAGGTTGGGAGTCTTTTGCTGTTGTCATAGAAAAGCCTCTCCAGAGGCCAAGTCTACGCAAAACTAACCCCCGGTTTTCTGAGCAGTGCTCAGCATGCAAGGGCGCTGCTGGCCTGCGGGTTTGTGTGCATTATGGAGGCTTTCAACCGCTGAAGCCTTCTCCGCGGTGGACCATGCAGGAGCGAACGGAGCGAACAGTACCAATTAAGCAACGACTGGGGGCTTGCCACCATGCGCTTATGATGTTTTAGGAAACTCAGGAGTACAGCCGGCAAGCGGTCATGGGCCAAAGTGACGCAAGGGGGCTGTAGCACATAAATTTGTTTTCTGCTTTGCAAATATTGGCTGTCATGTAGGGGTGCGTGAGGCTTTTTGAAGAAAGGGTATGCGAATGAGTCCCCACTTGCAAGGTTTCATCAAGCCTTACTGCACTTGACGGCTGTGTGCAATGGCTGGGACATTGTGTACAATTGGGGGATGCGCAGCATCAGGTGGAAAGACTCTCGCCTGGCTGATGGTGCAAAACAAAACGCCGATATGCGCCGACTGCATCCCTTGAGCTATCCACATGTCGTGCTTCGTCTAAATTGTCAGTTACAGGTAAGCCTGACTTGCTTATATGCCGGGCACGATTGGGGAAACAAGATGGTGACACGTCTGGCTGCCATACGAAATGGTGACCTGGATGCTCCGAAGCCATTTTGGCTTCAAGAGTGGACTCGAAACCCCCTGCATTCCAGGGAGGCGACCGAACATGGTTTTCCCTTGCTTGCCCCATGCAGCAAGGTTGCTAGTCCTGTTTTTCATCGCTGGGCTGCGCAGAATGCAGGGTGCTTGGACCAAATTGGGAACACCTCCAGTTTCTGCGCGCCTAAACCACGTCATAGCCTCTGATTTCAGCAGCCAAGCCTTGTGGCTACACGGAGGAGAAGGCGAGGCAGACTTTTGGCGCTATGATCTGGAGACTTCCACATAGACCCAACAAATCCTTGCAAGTGAACCTACGAGCACAAATGGTGGCCATGCCATGGTCTATGATGACGAGAGGCAGGCACTTTGGCTCTATGGAGGAAGGGGCTCTCTGTCCAACAGTGAGAAGCTTTGGAGGTTTGACATTGCCAATATGACTTGGTCGGAGCAAACAGATGCCCTCAATAAGCTTTTAGGTCGCGGAGAACACGCAATGATTTACGATCCCAACCAGCAGGCTTTGTGGATGTTCGGGGGGCGCATGAACAGTAACCACTATGTGCTGGAAAACACATGTAGGTACGACATTCAGACCTCAACCTGGAGGACATGGGCCCTAAATCCTGAGCCACCCAAGCGGTATTCTCATGCCATGGCCTATGACTCTCAAAGCCGTGTTGTGTGGCTTCATGGAGGAGAACACAACTAAATTTGACGACCTATGGAAATTGGATGTCCAGACGAAAACTTGGACTGAACAAGCGCCAGGTCTCCTCAAACCGTCGGCACGTCGAGAGTCCACATTACTCTATGACTCGATTGGCCACTGTTTGTGGTTGCATGGTGGTATTTCTGATGGCGGTCGAACGGATGACTTCTGGAGGTACGACATCCATACCGCAGGTTGGACTGAGGAAGTAGTTCTTGCTAGCAGCCGATGGCGCGCTATTCCCATGCCTTGGTGTATGACCTGAGCCGACATGTCCTCTGGTTGCATGGGGGATGGGCTGGAACCTACAAGAGCAGGCAAGATTTCTGGAAGTTCACGCTGCCAGAAACCACAATCACTCAGACAAAAACCAAATCAGTCTCTTCAACCACGTCGTCTACTTCTGAATCAACCACTTGGACAAAAACCAAGTCATTCTCTTCAACCACGTCATCTACTTCTGAATCAACTTCCGACGCCACTGCCACCGTTACCGCTACTGCCACGACTGTCACCCATTCCACTACAACAGATACAGGATCAGTGAGTTCACCCACCACAACCAGTATCTGGATCACCACTGTCACCACAACACGTACAACCATCACTGCGCATGCTGCGCTGGAGGATGGAGATTCAAGAGAGACAGGCCCCATCAACCCATAGCTCAACCCAAACCCAAACCAGCACCTCCCTGGTCCCTGACAAGATGGCCAAAGTGCCAGTGGAGGAGGGCACCGCAAGCTTAGTCGCCTCGCTTGTATCCTGCGCTGCTGCCAGTGTGATCATGGTGATGGCTTGGGCGGCAAGGAAGATTTGCAAGATCCACCGCAAGGTCTCCCCTAAGGCTTGCGCTCAGTACAGCCTCACGGACCCGACGGACCTTATCCGGTATTTGATAGAGACAGACGTGCGACTGGTTCGCTTGTCCTACTTGCTGGAGCTGCAGCAGAACAAGCTTCCTTGGCCACGACGCCAGGAGGCCGACGACGTAGTTCTAGAAACTGGGGAGACTGCGCTCGTGACAGCTTCAGAGTTGCAGCATCTTTCCCAACCCACTAACCGTCGGTTCTTCACCACCTCGGGCAAGCTCATCCACTTCGGGTCGGTTTCGCATTGCTGGGAAAGCATGGAGCATCCGGACCCATGGAGTTTCCAGCTGAACGTACAACGCTTCCGCAACATGGAAGGTGAGAGGTCACAAGTATGGCTGTTTATCGATTTCATGTCGCTGTTCCAGTATCCCCGCAACAAGGCCCAAACCCAAAGCTTCTTCAAAGCACTTCAAGGAATGCATGTTCTGTACACTCACGAGCTTGTGAAGGCGGGCTGTTTTCATGGGTGTTGCTCAGGGCTGCCAGTCAAGTCAGAGTCCCAACCATGACAGGTGGAAATTCTGGAAGAGCTGACCCTGCTGGACATGCAGTCTGCAGGCAGCAACCATCAGATTTCTGTGTACAATGATGCCAGCAGCTGCGTGGAGCAGGTTCCCATTGCAACTCTGAAGTTGAACCGCGTGCCATATCGCCAACGCGGCTGGTGCCAAGCCGAACAGGAGTGGGCCAGTCTCCAGGAGACCTTTGCCAGGCGCGTGCCAATGCCCCCCGACCTCTTCTCCCAGTGCATGGACATGTGCAGGTTCACGCATCGCAACGATTCGGTATTGGTGCAGGAGTTGCAGGAGAAGATCTTCTTGCAGAAGGCGCACGAGACCACAAAGCTAAACCTACAATTGCCAGACGACCAAGTACCTGTCTTGTGCGCAGCGCTCCCCTATTTCGGTAGCCTGGACGTGGTCATCATCCGTGACACCAGGCTAGGCTGTGAAGGTGCCAGGAGGATCGTGGAGTCTGGGGCACGCCACATCCACCTTGATGACTGTGAACTCGGTGATAAGGAGGCCCTGGCAATCGCTGACGCCTTGGAGACGACAACAGGCGTAGACCAGCTGACGCTCCGCCATACGCACATGACTCCTGTTGGGGTGGAAGCCCTGCGAGCAGCCACGAAGGTTTTTGGCGCAGTGTGCATTAACCTGGATGAGCAGAAAATTTCAGGGGTTGTCGCCCAGTCAGTTGGGCCAACCAGTTCGATGGAAACCACGGACACGTTGAGGCATCTTTCGTTTGTCTCGGTAGAGACACCACCCTCGCCTCCTCCGAGGTTCCCCATCCTTCTCAGAGCTTCCAGGTGGACGAAACACATGTGATGTGCGTCCATCTTTCAGTGAAGTCAAATGTGGCTTCGCCCTCCGTTGCCTAGTGATGCCTAGTGTCAATGCCTAGTGCCAATGCCTGGTCATGAACAGTTAAAGAATTCGCTGCAGTGAAAGTTGGTCGTCCGAATGGACTCCGCCACAAGATGAAAAGATCTGTGAGCCCGGCTCTGCGCTGCAATCGCTGCAAGACAACACCTTGCCATACCTTGTCGCCTTTGCCACGTTCGCCACGTTGCTGTGGCTTTGCCCGGCTGTGGCAAAGACTCAAGTTGGTGGCTTGTAGTCCTGCAGGTGAGCTTTTCTGCTTAGCCTGTTTGATAACGGCAAGTAAGATGGACGAACAGAAAGTGTCTGGAACTCGCCGCGCAGCAGCAGTAGCAGCAGCACAACGAAGAGACAACAGAACCTTGATACAGGAGCCAGGAAGACACTGGCAACACCACTGATTTGCATTGGCATTTGTGCCACGCCTTGTCCGTTGTCCCCAACAGAGGTCCCAGCCTGCACACTGTAGCCAGCCCAAACCTTTATTTACCGCGCTTTCTGTACAGATTGCTAGAGTGCTAGACTAAGTCCACTTCTTGGGCGGATTCCTTGGCTCATGCTGTCACGGCGCTAGCCTCAATCCAAAAGCAGGCTGATACCTGATAGGTAAGACGGCAAGGCCTGCCTCCAGAAAATCAACGCATTTTCAGCTTGGATTCTAGGTTGGAGGTTCAGGAGACGAGTTGACGCAGGAGAGCAGATTTGAAATGGTGATTGCAACTTGCGGTGCTATCCTGGCTTCGGGTAAGCATCAATTGTTGAGGTCCATGACTCGAGTGGGATGGCAGCGATGCTGCCTTCATGTTTTACATCGGCTGACCGGCTCTTCGACGAGCCTGGGCTGCGCTGGAGAGTATGTCGGATCTTTGTTGGCCGCGAGTACCATGCTGGAGGACAGCTGCCTTGCTGGCATTCCCAGTAGTGGAAATGTACGGTCGCCAGGCCTGAGAGTGATACGCAGAGCATCTGGTGGATTCCTGGTGTACCTGACTCGTACAGCGTCCGCTTGGAACCCCATGCCAGCTTGTCTTACCCGTGTTTGGTGCAGCCGAGCTGTCCAGGCCACATGGTCCTGGGGCGCAGCACGGCCGGCCAGACACCACGATCGAGCTTGCCGGAGGCTATGGGCATAAGCCCGAACTTGCAGGGCAAGCCCGAGGCCGGAAGATACCGGAAGGACGGACCATCTGCAGCAATCACAAGTTTGGAGTCTTGCAGGAGAGGCTTCTGCAGCCACGGCTGCAGCTTTGTTCACTTCTTTGTGCTCTAGCGGCTGCAATCATCAGCCTTTGGCAACCAGGCTGCTATCGGACTAGGGTCACATTGTGCTGCACGTTCTCATTACTTGCAGCTGCTCTGCAAGATCTACAGCCGTTACACTGGGGTTGCAGCTCAGGTCCCTGCGTGACCCAGACGCTTGTGCTACTGGGTAACCGCTTATTTTTGCTTTGCTGCATGATTCCCACAAGACTTCTTGGTACTGCCGCTGTGGTCTGCTGCGCACTTCTTGCTGACGCTTTTTCATGCGCTGGAGCCACAAGATTCTTCAAACACATGTTTCCAACAAATATGAAACAATGATTGCCTTGTGACCTTGTGCAACAAGCTGCGTCCCTACGCAAGCTCAGGTCAGCTTCACGCAAGAGCAGGCGGATGCACCAAAGCAGTGCAAGGCACCGACCATGATCTAATTGAGAGACAAACGTGTCCACAACACGCATTCTTTGTAAGCTTTGAACCCTTGATAGAATAGCGTAGTGACTAGAGGTAAGTATGTAGGTCTTGGACAAGGCACGGCCCCGTAACATACACTTTGAGTGCAAGTGTTCCGGCAAAAATAGCGGACGAGCAGCAGGCTCTGGAGGACTACGCGGACGCAAACACTCATCTTTTGGGTTTCTGCTGCTTGGCCAGGTTGCTTGGGTGTGCGCAGCTGATGCGAGACGGATCCCAACACTGTATGGGATCTACATTACGGAAGAGCGTGCAGGCTGTTCTGCTTGCGAGTAACCGGTCAGTCTTTGGCCGCAGACATGTTGTACCTGGATGCCCAGACGTGGGCCCGATTTGTTCGCTGATGGCGATAGCATGCTGTCCATCAGCGTCCTGAGGTTATCTCAATTGCGGGGACACTGAAGTCAAGTCCTGAGCTTGCTCATGCTTTGCTTAATGCTCGTCAAGTGTGAATAACCCTGAGAGGAACTGTATGTCCTCAGGTACACATCTACGCTTGGTCATTGGACGCTTGCATATGATTAGCAGTGGTTCAGATGTTTCTGGCTCTGATGTCGGGGCAATAGACTGGGTATAGCTTAATTCTGGAGGGATCTCTTGCCGAACTTGAGGGCTGCATTATGCCCATGACACGGCGTGCTTCGAACACACGGTAGCACGCTGCACATTGTAGCACATCTCTAGGGGTGAAAACACTAGCAGAGGGATGAGCTTTGTTGGCCCGTTGGATGGTGAAAAAGGGGATCCAGTAGCAGCCCGCCTCAGCTTCAATCTGAGAACGTAGAGCAGACCACAGGTGTTTGGCCTGCTTCTGCAATCGCTGACTGTACTGCCCACGCACTGCAGCTGTGGTGACCAGATTCTTGGCAACCCAAAGAACAGTTGAGGTGATTTGGTCAAACGTGTGCAGATCTTTCCCATGTAAGGGGTTGAGATAGTGTTGGAGAACCTTTCCAAGTCCTTGCTTGAGCTTTTGTGGCTGGGGTTTCGCAGAGTGTCACAACCCCCTCCGAACTGAAGGTGCCCCGACAACCTCAAGGCCCCCCACTCCATGAAATGCGATCCATTGAGGACCCTTTGGATTTGTCGAGACATTGTCAAGTTTGTCACTGCTATTTACAGCTCAGTTGCTTTGTCATTGGAGAAATCTGGACGGAACAAATCGTGGAACTACGTTTGAAAGGGAACGACGATTCCGACAAATGACCGACCAGAAGGATATGACCAATAGATTAGGGGGTGCTGTAAGAGAGTCAGGGTTCACTACGAAGAGTCATCACAAAATTCAGTTAGGATTCCCTCGCACTTGTGAGAAAAGCCATTGTCCTAGATTTTCTAATCTTTAATATTCTCTGCTTCTCGAAGCTTTGCATCGAGGAAAAACATGCAACGGTCTAGATGAGAAAGCCAACTCCGTTCATTTCCTGGTTTCCTCTTGTTCTTATCGTTCTTGATGAGAAGCAATCTGGAAAGCCTCAGTGGCATTCGGGACCTCCTTGATCTCTTAAAGCATTGTCAGTGGAAGAATTGCAGTTGCAGAGCCAGCTCCGGACTCCATGCCATGGCTAAAGTTGTCTCCAGTGAACTTGGATTACTATTCTCGAGTGGAGGTTCCTTCGCGTCACTTGGCGAGTAGACTTCACCGGCGATTTAGCGGAGCTGGAAGAGCTGCCCCGGCCTTACTTGTAGCTTCCGTGGCTACTGTAGACCAAGGGCCTGCGTGTAGGCGTGTTTCATGCAATTTCATGCAGACATTTTGTGCAAACCGGGATCTTCTCGTCAAGATGAGCTTACTCATACGAATGACTCCTGCAGCATTTGTGCTGAAGTTTGCCGTTTGCGGCTCTTGCAGTCCGAGCTGCTTAGCCACGAGCCGTGGCCGCTACTCAATCATAGCTTGCAGGGGCAGGCTCGAGGAACGGCAACATTCTCGAGGCGAAGTCGATAAACAAGCAATCACCTCCATGATGACGTCTTAATCGTGGCTCATGGAGGCCATGGCGATTCAGCTGATGGCGATGCTGACCAGGCAGATTATGGCTCAGCGCAGTGTACTAAGTGACGTGACGACTACATCTGTCAAACAACATGTTTCGCAGGATGTCGCCAGCAGAGCTCATGCTCCACAAGAACGATTAAGGAGAATTCGCAGCCTTCAGAGAGAACCTCAGCTTGGGGCTGGAGCTAGGGCAGAGGTGCAAGAGATCCAGCAATGATGACCACAGCGTCGCAGGGGCACGCCTCACATATTGCAAGAAGGAATGTGAATCTCATACCGAATCTCACAGCAAGCAATCATCATGGGAAGCTCCTCTATGGACTCTATGGCCGCAAGTGGCATTTGCCATCTGATGGTTTTTGTGTTGAAGCGCGTGGACGTTACACCTCCTGCAGCTTGTGATGTGGAGAGCCCACAGGGAGTTTTACAATGACGGGACTGACCTACTCGTCCTTGATGAGGGGCTACCGACCTTGCTCAGAAAGGGCATCGCCATACTTAGAGGCACCTGCCTAGGATAGTGTAGCAGGAGCCGGAAGACCGAGCTTTGCGAGTTTTTAACTTGGGATCAGGCAAGTCTGAAAAAGTCTTCTGCCAGCTAATTAGTGAACGTCGCATGACGCCGCGCGGCTTGCATTGAGAAACAGTGTGCCAAGCAGCTCGGGTTCAATCTCACAAACTGCACTACGTGTAGGCAGCGTAGCCCACCTGTCTTGCAGCTTTTGATCTGAGGGCAAACAAAAGCAGTGGCTCTTGGATATGGCGGCGAGTCCAGGCCTGGCAGGAGCCTTACCTTCTGGTTTGTAAGGTCTGCCGCGCTTGGGTTAATCCTTGCACATATTCCGGCATGACGTCCGGAAATGGATGATGTCCAGTGCTGAGGACAGGAGCGCAGCGTGGTAACCTTTTTGATTGGCTCGAGCCTGGCCTGCAAGGAGAAACGACCCACTCAAGACACCACCCTGTTTGTAGGGAAGTTGCAGGGAGGCTCTGAGGGGTCTTTCTTGGAGGTCATACCCAAACAAACGGACCTGGTTCCATTTGGCAGCTTCCCTTCAGCAGCGGTTTGGGGCTGATGCAGAGACCAGCATTCATTCCCTGCCTGAAACTAGGGGCATAGCTAGATCTCTGTCCTGCCCCAAGGAAGGCCTGCTCCAAAAGCAAGAGAGGATGCTCCCACTGCACATGAAGGTTATCCACCAGGCTCGTGACAGCTGGAGATGCTGCAGTAAAACAGAGACATGCGCTGTTTTGGCATGCCAGGCCCGCTAGGCTAAAAAGATGCAGGGCAGAAACACGAATGTTGCCTTGCTGGTCAGCGTGAAGCTTTTCTTGGCCGGGCTGACCTGGATGTTCACTACTTGCGCCGAATCGCGCTGGCAGTGGCAGCCGTTTTCTAGCATTGCGCAGCATAGCCCTCGCATGCAAGGAACTAGTCGCAGAAGTAAAAGGACAGGCTTCAAATTTTGATGTGACCTCTGAGTCAGCTGCTGGACGGGAAGGTAGTTCAAGGAAGACCCATGCAACATCCGCGGTCCCATGATGGTTACTACATGAGAGCGACTGGGCCTTACCAAGCCTGATGCATGGAGGCCGGGGGCGAGCGGCAGGGTGCCTGCGACAAATTCAAGCTAAAACAGCTAGGTCTACAAGATTGCAGGGCTACATTTCGCAGGAGAAGTGTGTGGATTTTCATGTCCAGGGCTCGGGCTTCGGGGCTGACCTGCGCCCAGTTCGAGGCCCAGCCAGTCTTCGCTTTCACGCCTGCGCGTCGGAAGCAGGACTGCGACATGTCAGCCTCCAGCTTCCTCAGGTTAGAAGTATGGTAGTCCTGGGGTCACTATATACTAAAGGTCTAGTGCATAAACTGTATACTAGACTAGAACCCTCCTACAAAAGGCTTGCGTCTTAAACATTTGTTGATCATTCACGCATGCTGCAAACAGCGAAGGACTCTACCATGGGCTGTTGCGCGGGTCAATTGGCTGATGAGCTTCAGCGGCTGGAGCCCAACGAAAGCACCAAGTTCGCACAGGATCCCCACAAGAAGGCCCAGCCTAAGCAGAGATGGTAATGCTTGCCCGCAGACATGCCGGTGCTGAAGCTTGTAGATTGCTACATGTACAAGGACTCAGGCATTCTAGTTTGAGAAGGGGTATTGCTGGGTTGCAGTGACGTCTGCTGTCATTTCAACATCTCAACTCATCGAGTGTTGAAGTTGGAGGCCTTGATCTGTATGCGATGTGCTGGGTGACACTGGTCCTGACACCCTAGCCTACACAAAGCGCATGTTTCTGACAGGAAGAGGCGCCCGAGGCTGTGCCAGCTGATGCATCGGGTCTTTATGCGGGGGCCGGCGAAGGCCGCACTTGAGTTATAAGATCGGAAGACGGTGAAGAATTCGGAGGCTTCGGATCCTAAATGGTCGCTTTTACATCCTTTTGCAAGAGATGATTTTGAAACTAAGCAGATGCATTGCCTCAGTGATCGCGGGGTCATAATAACGAACCATTATGCTAAGGGATCAGGGACCTCCTTGTTTTTTGAGATTCTGTTGTACGACAATCTGGCTTGAAACAACGTTTTTGAAGAAGCTAAAAGGATCTTTCAACCAGGAAATTCCTAAAGCTCCTAATCGGCAACTAGAATCTGCGTTGTCTCCCAAAAACGTTTTTGCAAAATACCTTTGTTATATAGAGTCGAGTCTGATTCGAATTTGAAGTAGGGATGCCCTCAACTAAACAGGCCACAATTACCACAATTTGAGTCTTGAACCAACATCACGTCAGCTCTCAGTAAGCGCCATTTCGCGTTGGAGAGTATTTTTATTGGCAGGATGCATTTTGTTGTTGAAGGAATGCGAGTTTACAGACACAACAAACAATCGTTCAAATAACCGTCAAGAGCCACGAGATGTTGGTTATTCCTCTCTACTCTCAACAGCGCTCCTTCCCCAAAAATCCTGATGGCCCTCGTAATCTCCGTTGCCAAAGAAAGCCTGCAAAAACATCCCCCTCGCCCTGAGAAGGCCCCTGCCCAACTAATGTACAATGGCCCCACCCGTACCCAGGTGTGGATAATTACATATTCTGCGCGCGATTGCCGAAATGTACCGAGGGGCACCTGTATCGTACATTTTTCTCTGTGGCATTGATGTGCCGATGTTCTCCACTGCCGTACTGCAGGATGTTCGATGCCCAGCCCCTAGCCCCAACTCATTCGCAATCTTCCGCTTGCTCATGGCTGTTTTGAAGCTTCTCATGCTGACTGGCTAGTGCCCCCCCACGCCTGATGCTGTACATTTGCAGCTGGGGTGATTGTATATTCCAGGGCTTCGAAATGCACAACAAGGGTGTGGTCTCCAAGACCTGTTCAGGCCACGGGTTCCCTGAGCTAAAAAGGCCGGGTTTTACGAGGGGATTGTTGTTGGCCACAGTAAAGCTTTCTGAGGCAGGTCTCATGTTGTGTGCCTGCGTTCCAGCCAGATGCTCTAGCCTGGGTTCAAAAAGGGATCGTTCTTGATTTGTTGATCCGTTTCTTGACATGAAAGGTATGTGCCTGCATGCGTCAGCTTAAACTTACGCGCAGAGATGTACGTGGGAAGGATATGGATCATCCCCTCCGCAGCCACAACTCCTTGTACCCGGAGAGGCCGAACCCACACTGAAGGTGCGCCATTCAGTTTGCAACTCGTTTTCGGATCCGGAGCTGCCTGACATTACTAGGACAGCCTCGCCAATCAGAACTGCCAGCATACGGCCAGGTTGCAGCTTCCGATGTGGGTGCTGAGAATCAAACGCAGCAAGAGAAGGCCACCTGCTGATGCAGAGGAGAACGTATGATGAGCAACTCTTCATCACCCAAGGCTGCTGAATCTGACACTTTTAGCGCAAGCCCAGACCACAAGGCGAGTTCCGCGGCAACTGCACCTGTGGAGGAGGAGGTGGAGGCAGAGGGTGCCAGCAAGGGATGCCCAGGCGTACGGCATATCTCCTGCAAACCAGCAAGCTCTGACAGCTGACAGGTCCACAACGACCTTTCGTGGCTTGAGGCCGCAGCGGCAGGCGAGACCGCCACCTTGATGTGGCATCTTGGCCAGGCGGCTGACAGCGCCTTGCTGCAAGCTGGGCAGGAGCTCGCATTATGAGGCCTCAACGTGCAGCAGAAGTCAGCGGCAGTCGTTTGCGTTGACTGCAAGCATACACGGACGAACCGAGGCAACAAGTGCTTGGAAGACTGCGCAGAAGATGCTTGGAAAAGGGCGAGCACGAGCTTCAATGTGACGGTAAGTGGTTCTTGTCCACGATGTCAAGTTCACCGGAACAAGCCATCAGCAAGGACAGACGAACCGCGCTCCACATGGCAGCATTTGGAGGACATCTTTCTGCGTGCGCATGGCTTTTAAGGGCAGCCGCGGACCCAGCCGCGATGACAAAGACGAAGCTGGGCTGAACATGCTGAACAAAAAGTGCTGGAAGCCCCTCCCCCTCCCTTTCGGCAAGAGCGGAGCGTTTAACGATGGCCAGCTAGCAAGGTCCTGAACCTTAGTAAGCTCTTACTAGGCTGCTGGATGCTTGCATAGCTTGCCAAGCGCTAAGCTCTCCGCTCTTCTGGAGTGGGGGAGTATAAAAGGGGGGGAGTTGGGGTCGGCATGATTTATTGTAAAGCTGTGACTTCGTTGCAAGGTTAGAGCTATCACTCCATGACCTGAGGAAGGCCACGCCATTGCACTTGGCCGCGCAAGGGGGCCATTTAGACGTGGTGAAGCTCCTGTTGCAGCCAGCCGCTTGGTAGAGCAACAGGCACAGAGTAGTTCGAGCTCAGGAAGTGAAAGCTTGCAAGTGCAGAAGCAGCTAGCCTGGTTCTGAACAGGAGGCCTTCGACATTGAGCAAGGCGAATCCTGGCCAAATGCTTTGAGCACCGCCGCTGGTCTCCAAGTGCGATGATTAAAGCAAATTAAAGCTTTGCGTGTGATAGAGATGCTATCAGTGTACAGTAATGTACGGTAACGTGAACATCATTTTAGAAAGGCTTATTGAAAATCTATGTCGGGCAATTGATTATGCATTGCAGGGCCTAGGCTTGATGGTCAAGACTGCATCTGGAGCGTCCAGGACCTCTGGCGGTGCACGCCGCTTCACCGAGCGGCTGAAACTGGTGCAGAAGAGGCTAAACATGCGCACTTCGTTGCCTGAATTTTCCTGTCAAGTGACTAGTAGGATGCCGCAATTCAGAACAACTTCTGATGCAATCCCTTGCAGTGCTTGGCAGGTTGCGCGCCTCCTGCTGCAGCAGAGAGCAGCAGCGGACAAGGCTCGTGCTTCCTTTTGACCTTAGTTGAAATCTGAGCCCCAGCCTGCTGGATGCAAGGCTGATCGAGAGGGAAACACTCCATTGCACAAGGCAGCCAACTTGGGCTGCCTGTCTCAGCCAGAGAGATCTCGAGATTACCTTTCCAGTGCCCGCAGTGGCAGTACTCATTGGAGGAGACGTGGCTTGCATAAACTGTTCCGCAGCTGGAGCAAGCTACCGCAACTGGAACTTAGGTTCCGGCCCTCTTCTGCGGTTATTGACCCAGCAATCCAAAGTGCAGCTGGACTTCGCAAACAATGATGGTGACAATGGCTGCATGTTGGATGCGTCCGAGTGTGCGAAAGACATGGCTGACATGAAGTTTTCCAGATCAGCTTCGCAGCGCTGTTGGTTTTTGTCTTCCGAGGCTTTTCGCCGCTTGACATCTGTGTGCGTGAGAAGCATGCGGTTGCTGGGGAAGTATTGGTTTCAGCAGGGGCAAAGCTTGTCAAGGACGGGGACGTAAACCTATCATGTTGACCAGCTGTTCTGATTGAAACCGTATGCAGACGGCAGAGGACATTCGGAAACATCCGCCGACACTTCACGCTGCTGCATCATCTGGGTTGCCATTCCTTTGTAGTGACTTGGCAGCTGGTGGCCACAGAGATTAAGGGGAAAATGCCTGCTGGTTTCGATGGTTCGACCCTTGGCCATGTAATAAGAATGTGATTTAGAAAGAAGCAGCAATTCCTGCAATATTCTGCAATAATGGACATATCCGCAACCTGTACTGACTGTACTGCTTGTTTGGAACATGTACTTCTTGTCCGAAACATGAACTGAAGATCTGTGCGCCGGCGTGGCTCCGGAATCCAAGGCACAATCTAGGCTGCAGCGTCCGATCTAGAATAGCGTTGCCGTAGTGATAGTAGGATGAAAACAGGATGAAAACCATGCACAGCGTCTAGCAGTGTACTAATGTCACAAATGCACGGCGGGAATCGTATCGAACAGTTCACTGAATAATAAGCAGCTACGCCAGATTGATCAGACCTGGTATCCCATGACTGTCGCTGAGCGCGGTCCCACGCCCATGCCGCACTTGCCTGCTTGGTCATACTACTTAGAGTTGGCAAACAGGGGATACGGATAATAGTTCAAGTTCACTATCATAACAATTTGGGGCCTGATAATAAGCTTTGACTAACTAATGTATTAAAACTCAAAGATTGAGCCTCGACGGTTGATGGAAAGCACAAACTCAAGGACGAACGGGCAGAGGACGACCGACCCCGGCCAAACAGCGAGAACAAACAAAGCCATTTCAACCAGGCTCGAAAGTAAAGCGACGCGACTCGACAATGAACGATGCCCATGAACTTGCTAGGCACTAGGGCGCTTCACTGGCTCGCAGCATTGAGCCCCTTGGGGCGTGGCCCATCCTGGTCCATTAGTCCCACTGTGAGCCTGAGCTCCGCTGTATTATTTGGGAACTGAGTGCTCATGCGGCCCATTGGCCTCTGGGTGACACAACTCGCGTGGTCCGATGGGAGATGGTGCTCCCCCGCATTCCCAGGTGGGTAAGGTGATTAAGAGAAAAATCCATGGTGATTTCAATCGCTCCATCGACCTTAAATCCCTGGCCTTGTAGTAAGGATGCTTTTTCGGAATAGAATCGGCAGTTCCTGCAACAATGGTACTGTCCGCAACCTGTACTGCTTGTTTGGAACATGTCAAATGTAATTAGCGCCCAATGTGGAATAGCGAGCTCATACGATAGTAGGATGAAAAACCATGCAGAGCGTCTAGCAGTGCATAAATGTCACCAGCGTTATAAGAATCTTGCCTGTACAGCTTGGTGGATGGCAAAGAATTATTTTTGTCATTATTTAGTCATTTCTGTGCCGTTTCTGTGTGTCATTTTCCAGTCATTTTCTTGTCATTCTGCTCTGCGGCTGTCATTCCTCCAGTCATTTTTGTGTCATTCTGTGATAGCTCTGCATTCTTCCGTTCT